CTGCGACGAAGTGATCGTGCGACGAAATGATTGCGACGAAGTGAACGCGACGAAATGTCGTGCGACGATATGTGCGGTCACCACGCACCCCAGTGCAAATTGACTAACTGCTACTCTGACATGTAATCCACAAAAGACAGATTAAACTCATGTTTGTGTATTGACATATGCATCTGGTTTTTTGTCTTCCTTTGAATTCTTTGTTTCTGTTTTGCTTAGCCGTCTCTCGATTGAATTCATCCGATAGAGGCATAAAAAATACGTTTCTTTTAGAAGCGATGAGGAGTAGAGGCATGTTTATTTGTTTCTCATGAATCATAGTGTGTTATATTCTCTATATAAACTTCTGTCTGTTGTCGTTAAACAAGCAAAAAGAGTTGATTTCGATTTTTGTGTATTGTATGGCACAACAGAACAATTCGAGAAATTCAGCAAAGATCTCTTCGAATCGTCGTAATCGTACAGATAAAATTACAAAGCTTGAACAGCTTTCACCAGAAATTTTCTACGAAATTTTCGATTATCTAACAGGTAGTCAAATTTATATTTCCTTTTTTCGTCTCAATAGTCGTATCAATGAACTTGTCTACAATACACCTAATGTTCATTTGGATTTATCACAAACACGAACAAAATTTTATCACAGTTTTCAACAAATATTTTGCTCACAAAATATCGTTTCAGTTGTTTTAGACTGTGATATTGACAACTTATTAAAAAGATTATTCAGTACAACTGGCGGAATAAGAAATCCGTAAAGAACATCTACTAAAAATAAGCCGTTTTTTCGGCACATCTCTTCTTTGATCGCTTTTAACTGGCGCAATCTCCGTCTCAAACACAAACGTACTGGAGTCGTCAGGATAATCTTTGAGCATGACTTGAAATCCGTTAATCTAAACAGAAGGTTTTCCAAAGTTTCCTTGGCAGAGTCATTGGAACCTAATCGAAAAATCCACGAAACGATAGGATGAATGAAATTCTTCCTTTTACTAATGTAAAAATAGTGATGCGTACATTTTATAACACTATCCCCTAGGTGATGTTTTATGGTAGGACCACTTGTTATTATTGGGTTGTCAGTGCCAGTGAGATGATTGGGTCATTGAGTAAACTCCAGGTTTCAATGAAAAGAAAGTTGTTGTCTCATCAAATCAACTGAATGTGCTTCGATACATTCACACACCCACAAAAGTGATTTTTTCCGCGAAAATTTGAAGGTATAAAATAAACCTAGAAAAATTGTTTTTTCCGACGTCTTTCATGGATGTCCCTGAAGACGATTGAAGTCAATTTCTCTGTTAAACTTATCTCTATACACATTTCAAACTAGAATACCCGAAATATTGAGCACTTTCAAGGAACAATTAGTTAGTTTGAAGATTAATTTAATGAATACGGAATCCTTTGGAACGGGAGCTCAAACTGGCCAGTCCTTCGGATATCTACTCACTGAGTTACCGTTATTAAAATATTTTGCATTGAACGATTCCGGTCAAGTCAATACAATGACATATTTGGATTCGACTATCACCAATAATACTGTTGTAAGTCTAACAATGTCTTTAACTGGTTATGTGCGTTGGACATCGATATTGCGTCGATTTGAAAAATTGAAAGTACTCACGATTGACTTTCGTTTCCAAAATGAGAAAAAACGAGTGGCACCTCGAGATTCCACTTCGTATTATGGAAATCAAATACAAGAAATATTACCGATCGGTTATCCTATTCGACTTCGTCACGTCAAAATCTATCAATACAATATGATATTGGAAAATGTTGAACAATTATTTCAACTCTTAATTTCACCAACCTTATCGACTCTATGCTTATTTAATTGTCAACGTCCTTTTACGAGATATCCGCAACCGAAAAGACAACCTCCGTTTCTCGATGGTACACAATGGCATGATTTGGTGAAAAACTATTTGCTACCAACGATGAAGCGATTCTATATCGAGTACGAAGATGTTGATAATACAATGTCCATGAGAAATATTGCCCAAGTTAAAAATAATTTTATGAAATATAGTGGACAAAATTTACCATGGGAAGTAACCTGTTCGTACGACCCAAAAACAAAATTTCTTTCTTTTGATTTCATTTTTACTTGAATAGATTTCAGTTCAATTTTCGTTGGATTAATAATCACTGACAAGTTTTGTCTCGGAGAGGGTGGGGGGAGGTTGAGTTGTAGGTACTAGGATGGAACACTGGAGTTAATCGATCTTTACCGGCACCTGATCTATCGAGAACAGGTTCACCGGTAATTGGTTTTAGGCTTATAACAGTTTATACCTGTCTATATCGGATTCCATCGGTTTAAAGTATACTCGTTTTCCAAAATTTTTGACTTCTTTCATCGGGGAAACAGTTTTTTGATATTTTGCATGAACGTTTCTTTCGAAAAATCGATCAGGGTGCCCATGAAACAGGCTGACTCCGTGAGGCTTCAACTAACTCAACGGCACCAGAAACACTTGTTTTGGATGAGTATGTGAGTGTGCATATGTTCTACTCTTTCACTGGCACCTACACTTGCATCCAATATCATTTTAAATAATATCATTATCAACAGTATCAGCACGCAGTGCCATAATGACAAGTATCACTGGTCAGTGTGACTCGCTTGACCCTTGACTGAATTCTCAGATGAAGGTTGGGAGGGCACACGAATGCTAATGCTCGCGTTTGTTTACTTGTACATGATGATATGTTTGTTTTTATGACTCTTATTCTCATGAATGAACACAACTAAAACAATACCTATGAACGAAAATGAGTTGGAAATATTGAGAAAGAACCACACTAACACAAGAATGCTGACAAGTACAACCTTTCGGCAAAGTCGTTAACGAATTTGACCTCCTGAGAGTGTGGTCTGAATGGGTCTTCCTTTGTTGAGCACTCACACCCTATGAAGGGTTTCTACGAATCTCGCTGATCATAGATCAACATATAGAACATGTCGAACTAAATCACTATTTAAAACTTTGTAAAACGAAAACTATCGTATATTCAAAAAAATACTAATACATGGTCGAAGCCACA